TTCTGTTGCTTTGTGTGGGGAATGGGTGGGTGTTGTAATGCAACCATGACCGCTTGTCGTAGCTAAGATGTGTATCTTTCCTAATCTCTCAACTCATCCCGCCCCTACCTAACGTGGGATCGGGATTGAGAGATGGAGGGGGGCGTGGATTGCCGGCGACGGGGCAGCAGGCGCTGCAGTTGGAGGGGCCGGGGTTTTTGTCGACGGTTTTTAGGAGGGTGTTTAAGATGGTGGATCGGCCGTGGAAGATGCTGCCGTTGGGGATTTTGTTTGGGTTGGGGTTTGATACGAGCTCGGAGATTGCCATTTTGGGCATTGCCAGTATCCAGGCTGCTCAGGGCACGAGCATGTGGGTGATTCTGATCTTTCCGGCGTTGTTTACTGGTGAGTGCTCCCCCTATCTTGCCCCTGTCTGGACTCTGAGGTGGTGATGTTGACTGGCGGATCTCAGCTGGCATGTGTCTGCTGGACACCACCGACGGCGCGCTCATGATGGCGCTGTACACGTCCAAGGCATTCTCCCGGGACGTGGTGGCCATCCTCTACTACTCCATTGTCCTCACCGGCATCACCGTCTTCGTCTCGGCCTTCATCGGCATCATCCAGGTCTTGTCCTTGGTTAACCACGTCGCCGAACCGGACGGGAGCTTCTGGGAAGGCGTCGGCGCGATTGGAGACTACTACGACGTTATCGGTGGCTGCATCTGCGGAGTGTTCCTTCTCGTCGGCGTTGGCTCGGTGTTCGTTTACCGGCCCTGGAGAAGGCGGATGGATAAGAGGGCTGATCGACGGGTGGCCGCGAGCACGGAGCCTCACAGCCCTGACCCATTGCTCCCCGGAAATGAACCCCGGGTCCCTAGCTACGGGGCAGCAGACACAGAACCGCGAGATAAGAAGCCGGATGCCGTCACGGCGACACCGGTTTGAGCCCTCCGAGCCAAACGCCACGGAAAGACAGCCTCTACAAGTAGAGGGCCGTGATAATGCACTGACGCCTCCCGTCTCGACGCATTCCGGCGGGTTTCAGCTTCAACGACAGTGCACTTGGGTTCGCTACCCTCCGATTTAACCGAATCGATGCTTTACGAGCTGACATGTTTTGATAGAGCACTGCGTAGAATTCTCGAACAGCAAGAACAGACGTCGCAAAGCACTTCGTGTCCTAGACTTTGAATCCCCCGTGACTCTCGAGCTACCGCCCGTTGTTCTAGTATTCATCTTTATATCATCTGCTATAACCCATGATTGTGAGTATGGTGGTCGAGGGCTGCTTCAAACCTAGGTCAAGGCTACTCGTAACTGGGATGATACTAAAGGTCAAGCATAAAATACTGTTTAGCAGCTATATGGGAGGTGTCTCATTATGAAAGGCCCAGCAAGCGTAAGCCGTAGTTCCTGGGGTCGGGGGATCTTCCGCATCCCAACACCGGCGTGATGTACCGCCTTCACCTGGGTACCCGTGTCCTCGGCGGCATTCACGGGCTACCCCATACTTCCGATGAATGATGGCAATGCTGTAAAGGAGGAGGCTGGTTCATCGCCAACAAAGATTGCTAGTTTTGTCAACGAGACGGAGAAAGGAGTCGCTGAATAGCGTAGTGATAAACCCCTGACTGAGACTTACCTGTGGGGGTTGCTCTTTGGCCGAGACTCGGACACAAACCCGAAGACGGGAATCTGGGGCTGAACCGTCGCACATACACGCGGTGCAATGCGGTACAGGCCCATCGTAATCACCCATTAACTGGTGTTACCGGAGCTTTGCTGCAGTGGACACCTCTCATGTCAAAAGCGGTTCAGGTCAGACATTTCTTAGACAGTTCTCAGACATAACCCCCCCAATACTCCGAGTCGATCAAACACACGAACGACGTCTGAGCGAAGAAAAATTAAGTATTTCGATTAGAAGCCCCAAGTACCCCATCTATGTCCATCATCAAGTCAATATGTCACTAAGAAATTAGTGTGTTGTTGTTTGTTTCTGCCCCGGTCCGGCCGTCGTCAACCCCCGTGACACTAGCAATCTAAAACCCCGATGTTCTAAGTCCTCCATGCATATGATGGCTGATGCAAGCCGCGCCATCCCGGCCAGGCGTCAAGCCCCGCGGCTACGCTACCACCGCCACGAACAAAACAGGAAATAGTGCGTGATGTAGAAGTTGTACGCGTTGAGCACTAACAGCGGGATCGTGTGGTACCACGGGAACCCGGTCAGCAGGCGGTAGGTCACGGCGGCGATCACGCCCCCGACGGAGACGATGGTCCACAGCCAGCAGAGGATGCGCATGTTGCGGTACTTGTTGCTCTTGTGCGCCTTCTTGTCGCCCGACGCCGCCCACAACAGCTCGATGCCGAAGAGCCGGTCCTTGATAGCCGTTAGGTAGGCATACGACTGCACCACCATGATGTGCTGCACGTTGAAGCCGTACTTGGCTTTGGCCCAGAAGCGGAAGAGCAGCGAGCCGTAAATGATGGAGGGAATAGCGAAGGCCAGGTTGTAGTACTTGAACCACTCTGGACGGAAGAACAAAAGGAGCGTGCCCGGGATCGGCGAGATGAAGATGCCGAGCGAGACGGCCGAGTAGTAGAGGAGACCTGGAACGTCAGCGGAACGTTTCCCCCTGGTGTGAACGCCCAACTCACCACAGAGATAGCAGATCTTTTGCATGACCGTCAACTTGGACACCCAAAAATGCTTGGTGGTAAGCAGCGTAGTGCTGCCGCGCGCCCATCGCATCTGCTGCGAGAAGAAAGAGCGCGGAGTGTTGGGACAGATGCCCGTCGCCAAGCACAGCGGGACATACTTGACCTTCCAGCCGCGGTCGACAGCTCCAAACCTGCGCTTGTCAGCCCGCTACCCCCACAAACCCTCCCCAAAACAACAAAGGCACAAGCAAACTCACCCCGTATGCACATCCTCCGAAAACCCAATCTCCGCCGTCCCGCCCACCTCCTCCAGCGCCGCCCTCCGATACACCGCATTACTGCCCACACAAATCGACGCGCCCCACCGGTTCCGATTGACCTGCACGACGCGATAAAACAGCTCCTGCGTGGCGCCCGCCCCCTGCTCCACCCAGGTCTGATCGTCCGTGACACGAAAGTACTGCGGGCTCTGCACGATGGCCGTCTTGTCGTCCGCCAGGTGCTCCACCACCAGCTCGCGCAGGAAATCCGGCCGCGGACAGAAATCCGCGTCGAAGATGGCGAAGAACTCCCCCGCCGTGCGGCTGAACGCCCACCGCAGGTTGCCGGCCTTGCGCAGCCGCGGCCGGTCGTCCCGCACCAGGTAGTGGAAGCCGTAGCGGGCGGCGAGGGCGCGAACGGCGGGCTGGTCGCCGTCGTCGAGGACGTGAACTTGTAGTTTGGAGGCGGGCCAGTCCAGGCGGAGGATGTGGTTGTAGGTGTTCTGGAGGATTTCGAGGGGCTCCGAGCAGCAGGGGAGGTAGACGTCTACGGTGGGGGCGGTGGTGTCGGTGATGGGGTGCTGGGCGACGAGGGCTTGGTGCGCGGCGTAGTCCCAGTCGCGGCCGATGATGCCGACGAAGTAGGAGATGATGAGGTAGATGTTGAGGAAGCCGACGAAGACGCCGTACCACGAGAAGATGGGCGAGCTGACGGCGAAGAGCCACATGCCGGCCGAGAGGGTCAGGAAGGAGAAGACGCCGAAGATGTAGAGTGGGATGCGGTTGGTGCTGATGTATTCGAGCTTCTCCTTGTCGGTTGGGCCCGTCGGGAAGACGAGGCCCGGCTCCTCGATGGGGCAGTAGGTCCGCCGGAATGCGCCGTAGCTGCGTTTGAAGGGGTTGCGGCTCTTCTTGGGGCTAGCTGTTGCTGCTGCTGCCGTGGAGCCCCCCTTTTCCGGGTTTGAAGCGGCAACAGCAGCATCCATATCTGAGCCGGAGGCATGACCCGCCTTCTCGTTTATCTCTCCAAGTCTCGTAACAGGTGTCTGGCTGTTGGTTAGTATCTGATGACATTTACAGCGCTTCACTACTTACAATAACATCACCTCCATTTCGCCTTGCCCTCGGTACAACTGGCAGTGGCCGCGCTGGAGCAGGGGTGGGTGCTTCCTTGATGGTGGATTAGTCTTGTGAGGAGGACTGGAACATCAGGTTACATACAAGTGATGTCCTTGAATCAGTAGCGGGCGACGAGGCCTGGGAAGGGTCCCTGAAGGGATCGCGAGTACCACCGCTCGATGGGTTACTCTGCTGGGAACCCGGGGTCCCAGGCCGGGAGGGATGGAGGGTAGCCATCCGGAGCAGGTATCCGATGGTTCTTCTAGACAGTAGCAGGTATGTTGTTTGCTATCCCAAGTGCGCGTCACTGGAGTCCGCCGGCGGGACACGGGGAGGAGAGTACAGAGGCTTTGACATGTCCGCCATATATGGAGCCGATGGTTCGGTCAACACTTGGTAAATCACCAGTCGGTAATGGCAAGTTGCGGTGACGTCGTTTCGGTGGCACGTCGGCGCAAGCTGCACAACGATCTGCCCGAGAGAAAAGTAACCATCGAATTTGCGTGCGGGGGTGGTTCAACCTGCTATCTCTGAATAGGAAAGATGATCGTCAAGCCGAGATATCCAAGATCTTGTCCGCCGGGGTGGAAGCTCGGGCTCAGTCTGACCGAGGAGGATGCCCGAACCACCCGCCTGCTTGCCGCCCCCTAGGATCAAGGTGAAAATAAAAAAAAAGAAAATGTCCGATGCAGTCTAGTCTTGTCTGTACACCCTTCCAAATGCATGTACCCTTTCCCCAGATTAGGATAGGCGGCCAGCCGCAATTCAACATTTGATCAAAGGAAAACCACCAGGGCAGCAACACTTCCGCTGATCGACAAGCCCGATAACCACGGCAGATAGAGGCTCCTTGTGGCCGAGGAGGGGGCCGCCGACGGAGCAGAATCCGCGGTCGGAACAGGCGCCATGCTGAGGGTTGGGGCAGGTCCGAGCAGCACATTCGCATCGTACCTCGCTGAGGAGAAGGTGACGTTTCCTTCTGCATGGTAACCCTCGGTACCCCACCCGATGAGTCCCATGTTCGATCCGGGGGAGACCAAGCCATTCCGCCACAGGTACTGAAGGAGCGGCGATATATCAGCCGCGAAGCTTGTCTCGTTGGATTGCGCGGCCCAGGTGAAGACTGACGTGCCTCTCTGGTTCTTTCCCAGGTACAAGGTACTGAGACGGATTCATGTTCGTTAGCAACATTGAACCTCTCAGGGGCTCTGTCATTTTGACAAGGCGTGCGCACAACCCATCCCGAGTTCCTGACTCAGATAAGACTTACAAGTCGACGTGACCCACGGTCAACTTCGCCCGATACGATTCGGTCCCCTCATAGCCCAATGGCTGGGCGTAGCCAACCCTGCCCAGCCAGACCATAATTTCGGTCTCCGCCTCTGTCTCCCGCAGAGAGTTTTGTGGGATGCGGTCAGCGAAGATATCGAAAGCGGCATTCGCCGAGGCGTCCAGCCTCGCCAAGCCGGGCGCGTCGATACCGGGCACAGACCGCGATGTCGATCCAGGGCCCATGGCCCACTGGGCTGAGAGTGTCAGGGCCGAGATGTTGGACAGGGGTACGGGGAGGACAGGGTCTGAGAACTTGACGTGGGGGTACGAGTGGACGGACCCGGGGTCCGACGACCACCTCCAGGTCACGTCGAAGGTCGGCGGTGAATCCTGGATCTGGTCTCCTCTCCCCCGTTAGCCTGGGCGGTAAGCGCGGTGGGGAAGGTGTATAGCCGATCACGAACCGCGATGCAGGAGAACCCTTTGCTATCCGCGTTCCAAGCGTTCGGGACGTCTGCCGCCGGGTTAGCCCTTCTAGTGGCCGCGCGACTAAACAACGAGCCGGTGTCTTACATGTCAAACTGGTGCCAGGGGTGTCGTAACTGCCATTGTTACATAACCTGCCATCGTACGCGCTTTTGGCAGCTTGAGCCCACAGGGCAATAACAGAAAGTACAATAATCGGGGACCGCATGCTGGGCGACTTGTTGCGCGGTGCTGGAGATGGCATGAAAGGAAGCCCGGGAATTGCAATGGTTACTCCGCCGGCTCTTCATTGATAAAGCCTCAATTTTCCTCTATTGTGTGGCTTCTTGCGCCTCACCTTTGAGATCGCCTCGGAAGCTGGCGCAGCGCCGAGTGCTTCTTCGTGGCGGGTTGCTGGGGTAATCCGGGTCGGACAAGAGGCAAAGCACACCCTTCGGGTTGGCGAGCCGGTGGGCGTTTTTGTGCGAGGTGCTAGAGTGACACACCGCGGTGGCCGCACGCCACCTACGTAGGTGTGTTAATAGGGGCTCGAGGTTTGAGACGAGGTCCAACAGCTGTCACGTCGAGCGGAAGCTTCCGCTTACACCGCGCTGAGCTGCATTGGCCAAGGCTCGTCGTGTTAGAGCTGTTTCGTCGCCAGGGTCTACAGATAAAACCCCGAGCAAATCTTCAATGGCGCGCTGATCCACGCCATAACCGTTGTACAAACAGCAACAGATGCCAAGTCCGAACCGGGGTTCCCTGCCGGAGATCGACCCGGCGCGACCGGTTGAGGCTCAACATGCTCGCGCCGCGACTTGATCGACAGACGCAAGATATCCAACCTTCCATCTCGAGATGAAATGTCTGTTGCGCGATGAGCCGTGGCGCAACAGTCGGGCCTTTACGTTTCTCATTCCCCACTGTCTTGTTGTGTGTCGGCACTGTCGGGTGCTTGCGTTTCATGGCGGCGACTTACCTGTCAACGCTGGCACCAAGATGGGAATGCGTCGTCAGCTGGATGAGAATCCCAGGAATTCCGATTGAACCGCAAAGCTAGATAGCATGAAGGTGGCTTAGATTCCTTGCCCAAGGAAAGACCTCGCATACGGGAGTGTCAAGTTGCGCGACGTGGCGGTGACGGCCGGTCTAGTCCTCGGCTGCCAAGGAAGCTCCCGTCGGCGGTCGGGGCTGGGCGAAGATTGTGATAGTGCGGAAGGAGGTCTCAGCTTACGATGTGAAGTGCGTACGACGAACATGTGGTGCTCCTAGCCAGCACAGAAGCTGAGAAAAAAGTTGGCAGACTGGGCATAGCACGGCCATGCGGTCTCGGGGCTGTCGGTTGCCGTCCCGAGGGGGTATTATATACCCTCACCCCTTCAACCGAAGCGAGCCTCCACCGGAGCACTGTTTTCCCCCAAAGCAGCCTTGTTTCACCGACCACGAGAAGGGAGAGACCCGAGAAAGTAGACCAGATACCCGACACTGAGACCCCGAGGCCAGCCATGGACAACTCGCCTGATTTTCAGCAGTCGGTGCCGGCCACCCCCTCGATGGGCGGCCCTTTAAGCAGGTCCTTTCCGAGCTCTCATTCCATTGCATCCACAGTCAGTCCTGGAATTTCAACACCGAACTCGTGGTCAGGAAATGACTGGATCCGTGGCACACCCGATACCTCGCCGCCCAGCTCGGGAGTTGGTTCCCCGGAGCTCCAGGCCAAGCGGCTGTCAGAAGACAGCAGTGTCTCTTCCGTGGACGAGTCCATCGATAGCCGGTCTCGACCCGCCGCGAAGAGTGTATGTTTCGTTGGCGCAGGATTTGTCGGTATGGCCAAGCCTAGTCCCTCTCGATGCGGCGTATAAGTGAATAACAGTTAAACAGGCGGCCCGACTGCTGCTGTGATTGCCTACCACAACCCACAGGTCCTGGTGAACGTCGTCGATTTGAACGAGCAACGCATAGCCGCGTGGAACTCGGCGCACCTACCCATCCACGAGGATGGTCTGCTGAAGGTGGTGCGCGTTGGCAGAGATGGCACCCGCGACGCCATTGTCACTCTGCCCGGATTTTCTCGTCCAGTCAAGCTCAAAGCGCGGAAGCCGAACCTCGTGTTCTCTACCAAGGTCGTAGACGCCATCTCCGAAGCGGACATTATCTTCATCTGCGTCAACACGCCCACCAAGATGCAAGGGCTGGGTGCCGGGTCCATGGCCGATGTTAGTGCGGTCGAGAGCGCCTCGCGCACGGTTGCTAAGCACGCCAAAGAAGGGGCCATCGTCGTGGAGAAGAGCACAGTACCATGCGGTACAGCTCGCATGATCCAGGACATAGTGCGTACCGTCTCCGAGGGACACAACCATGACAGTTCCATGCTGACCTTGACCAGCTGCACCATGAGCGTCCCGAGAGCAGATTCGAAGTCCTATCGAACCCCGAATTCCTCGCCGAAGGCACCGCTGTCGAGAATCTCATGCACCCGGACCGAATCCTCATCGGGAGCACAAGAAGCCTTGCCGGTTTCCAAGCAGCGGCCATTCTGAAGGACGTCTACGCGACGTGGGTGCCCACCGCCCGCATTGTCACCGTCAACACATTTAGCAGCGAGCTTGCCAAGCTCGTGGCAAACACCATGCTCGCCCAACGCATCAGCAGCATCAACGCAGTGAGTGCCATGTGCGAGGAGATTGGCTTGGGTGCCGACGTGGACGACGTGAGCCTCGCCATCGGCAAGGACCTGAGGCTGGGGTCCAAGTTCTTGCAAGCCGGCGTCGGGTTTGGGGGCTCGTGCTTCGAGAAGGACATCCTCAACCTCGCATACCTTGCCCGGGAGCTGCACCTCGACGTGGTGGCCGAGTATTGGCTGGCGGTTCTCAAGATCAACGAAGACCAGCGTCAGCGTTTCGCACGCAACGTCGTCCGAGAGCTGAACGGGTCTCTCCGGGGGAAGAAGATCGCGGTGCTGGGCTTTGCCTTCAAGGACGGGACCAACGACACGCGAAACAGCATAGCGGTCCACATCATCAAGGACCTTGCGTCGGAGATGCCGCGGGAAATCGCCGTGTTTGACCCGGGCTGCGCTACCGCTGATATTATTGACGAAATCCAGCGGATGGGGCTGAGCGCCTCACAGATGGAGAGGGTCAGGATTTGCTCGAGCTGGCGGGAATGTGTTCAGGAAGCTAGTGCCGCTTGTATTCTGACGCAATGGAAGCAATTCCGTGGGCGCCAGTTGGGGAACGCTGGGGCCGCTGTGGGTAAGACGGCAAAGCCAGATCGAGCCGGATTCGCAGCCCATGCTCTAGACGCCTGCCTGAGCGAGAGAGGCATCATGGATCTGGAGAAGCTGTCGCAGCAAGCGGTGTCAACGCTTTCAGACGACCCTCTTGGACGGCTCAACCCGCTGGTGCCATGCTCGGCAGATTGCGAAAATTGCAGTCTTGGTCAAAGTAGGATGCAGGACCAGGAGGCAGTGAACTGGGTCGAAGTCGCCGGGATGATGCAAGAACCGCGGTGGGTGTTTGATGGGCGTAATGTGGTCAACCACGTCGAGCTTCAGGGTTTAGGATTCAGAGTGAGGGGGATTGGAAAGGGCTTCCATTCCTGAGCAGTGGCGTGTTGATATGATTTCTGCTTTCTTCGGATTTCGCTAAGGTACCTACCTAGAGACGGAAGGGCGTTTGGCGTTCAGATATAAGGGACGGGGTCGATGAGGAGCCGTACACATTGAACTCCGGCCTGATACCGCGTAATTATTCGTACATAATCTGTTTATAAGGAACTGGATAATTTTCAACAAATGAGGGTGCTGCGGGTAGCGGTTTTGCACGCAGCTTGGCAAGAATACAGATATGCAGAGCAGGGTGACCGGCATACCTTCTTCTTGTGATATTTTCGTCAACGCTCTTGTTTTTGGCGCCCGAGTTTTGTGACTGACCAAGCATGTTGCGAAATCTTGAATGGTTCGGATACCATGCTAACCAACGCTGGATAGGTAGTAGCTCGGTAGGTAGTCAACGACGGAAATTGCCATTTCCAATAGAGCTAGCTACCTTACCTACCTAGTGGTCAATGTCATGTTGGTCGGGTGTTAGTGTAAGCACAGCGTGGTGCGCTCAAGCGTTCCCAAATTTGGCAGTTACACAATCAGAGAACCGACGCCGAGCTCCATCTCAAACGGAGATGCCCGCTGCCACGCCATTAGATTCTGCATGTCACCTCTTGCACGGATATTCGTGGAAGTCAATAACTCGACAACTGCTCGGTGGCGCGGGGAAAAAACAGGAGAGGCGGGCGGCCTGACGACTGGAATGATTTGTGGTCTCAGTTTATTTGTTTGTGCCACAGTTCGGGCGGTCGCGGTCGGGAAGCGGCTTGGTGGTCCAGCGCCCGATAGCTTATCGGGCACAATGCTTAGCCCTAACAGTCCCGAGTCTGCTGCACCGCATTCACCCACTGGGCCACTCTAAACCCACGAATGCTGCCGCCGCCGCCGCCGCTTGCTTGGCAACCCCTTTGCCAACATTTATCGCGATGCGCGTTACGGGTTGCACCAGCGCATCCCCGTAACCCTCACTTTTTGGACGACTGGTCGAATCCACCAAGCGTCCCCGTTCCACCGATGCATCACGGAACCACCAAAATAGCGGCCTTGCACATCGCCTTTCGCCTTTTGCCTTTCGTATTTCCCCTTTGAGCGCCCCTCGGCCTCTCGTCCCCAACGGTTACACCCTTCTTAAGTTTGTGTCCCGGTGTGGAAAAGGCATGTCTGCGGACCGCTTCCGATTACGTCGCAGCTAGGCCGCGGCCGCACCCAAGTCTTGCTCTCCTTGTGCGACGGTCGAAGCAATCCTTCCAAGGAAGTGAGCACGCGACTCTTTTTCCAAGGAGATGCTTAGCAAGCTTGACAAGGTGACCAAGATGGCCTCAGAGCCTCGCTCACTCGCAAGAGAAGTGGTGGCGAGCTTGCGTAACTTGGGTGACTCGGCAGCTCGGCGGACTCACCTCGGTCAGCGATTGCCGTCCGGTTTGCCCTCTGCCAAGGTCCCGATGACGCTACATGATGATCCCGGTGGGTCGAACCGGATGACGGGTTCGTGTTAAGCCTTGTCTAGCTGAGCAACCACCAAGTGGCAAGTTGGACGGCGCCGGACTAGGCCGCGGTTGAACTCATCATCTGAACGGTCAACGGTTTTCGTGTCGGTGACTGGGAACAGCATCGAGGCGACAGGCGACCATGCGGCTCTTCTTAGCTGCAGAAAGAAGCGAAGAAATGGTTACATCCCGGTTAGTTGTGGCCGCTGCCGCCAGCCAGACCGAGCTGTGTCCTCACAACCGTATATTCTCCTTCGCCAAGTTCCACGGAGTTGCCCGGTGATCGATACGTGGTGCCTGGGCAAGGCTTAACGGCGGAACGTGGAGGCGGCAAGCACTCATCGATAAACCATATGCGAGCGGCCGATGGCTGTGCCCCTCGATTCGTCCTCCCCATAGCTGCCAAAAACCGGGACCAGTCAACGAGCCAGATGACGTTGTCGCCATCCCCACCTGAGACTCAGCCTCGACACATTCGCCAGAATCTCCCACGCAGGTGGCTGCCCGAATGACTTGCATTGCCGTTGCTGCATGCAGCACAACAAGGGGCTTATGGGCTGGCGAGCTGGCTGCATGCATGCCGGCTCCGAACCGGTCGCCCCTCGTCTTGATACTGGCCTGTAACAATTAGGCGGCCAAGGCCGGAGTTAGCGGCTGCGTTTCGTGCTCCGTCGCTGTCGGCTTGGCAAGCGCCCCCACAAGACAAGTGACAAGTTGAAGCTTTGAAGCAACACGCAACCAACAGGCAACCCGCGTGGCACAGCAGCATGAGGCGTGAGGTATGGCAATGGCTCGGTGAGAAGGACATACGGGGTACATGGTCCGATCAAGGAATGCAACCCCTCTTGTGCAGACGTTGCCCGGTCGGAGAGCGCCGTAAATGTTTGTTTGTTGCTCCGATCATGATTGCGGAGCATGGATGTTGACGGGGTGCATTCGGGTTCGACCACATCGGGCCTGGTTGGTCCTTGGTCCCTTACTATTTTTGCGAGCATGGTTTGTTTCGTGCTCTCGGCTCCAACCCGCTGGGCGTGCCGTAGACGCCGCATCGCTTGTGGGTTACCTCACCCTGAGTTCCGTTTCACGTCCCCCACCAACGACTGACAGACATGACGCTGGCAGCAGGAGGGCTCAGTCGTTGGCTGAATGACGAAGAGGAAGACAGGGAAGAGCGGGAACATCACAGGACCCTTGCTTTTCCGGCCCTCCACACCCACCATCCACCTATCAGGGTCACCCGCCCAGCTCAGCCTTTCTCAATGATGTCTTATTGGCTTTTAGCACCCACACCCACCCACTTGCGATGCAGGTGGTTTCTGCGCCCACCCCCGGGTCCAAAGAAGGCGGCCACTATGGAAACCGGAGAATGGCCATGCTGTGCCAGGTTGGACGGCATCTTCAGCTTTAGCGCAGACATCGACCGTGAGGAGGGGGTGTCGACGGAGAGCACGAGATGCTGCCAAGCATGCAAGGATGCGCAAGAGCCGACCCGGGGGGCAACCCTCCCTTCCCAACACAGGCTCACGTTCCATTCCCATATAACAAGAAACGGCCGCCCGCCCTTGGGTCGTCGGCCCCGGTTGTTAACCGTCTTATTCAACCCACAAGAAGCCGGTTCTGAGTAGTAACAACTGTCACCGTCCAACCCGCCCTCAAACACGGTCTCTTACAAGCACTGCCATACCCGAGTCGAGAGAAGGCAATATATCTGGCCGCGGACCCCGTCCCTGCCACCAAACCACCCGCCCGACTGTCTTCGATGTCCTCATGTCGTTGAACAATATCAGACGACACTCTGACTGTCTTGTCTCGGATACGGCCGACTGACACCGAACTTGAGTCTGCCCGCCGTCCCCGTGGACACCACGGTTTCCTACAAGGACGCCGCTTGAAGGCCATTCTATTCCCCCTTTCACTTCACTGCCCACCAGACAACTTAGCCCCTTCTTCTTCTCTTTTGCAGAGCACCCAACACCGGCAAGATGTGTCTCACCAAGGTCTACTACAACACCTACTCGGACGGGGCCCAGGACATCACCGAGAAGGTCCACCCCTGCAAGGACGGTAGAAATTGCACCCGTCCTGACGTGCGCACGTATGACCGCAAGTTCCCCTTCAGCAAGCTCGGTGAGGCCGAGCCCGAGTCACAGCGAAGCCTGTCGGAGCGCCAGCCGACCCCTTACTTCTCGGGCCACACACCTCGCGGCTCCAAGTCCCCGTCCCCCTCCGGTAGACGTGACTCGGGAGTCTACATGAGCGGCGCCAACACGAGCAGCAAACGCTACGACTACAGCGACCCGTACGGCGACAGCTATGATACCTACGGCTACTCCTCCCGCCGCGACCCCCGCGACCGCTACGATCGCCCCGACCGCAACCGCGACCGCGAGCGTGAACCCCGTCTCAAGCGCTCCTCCACCGCCCCTCACATCATATACATGGACCGCGAGCGGGACCGCGACGCCGACCGCGACGGCAAGTCTTCGCGCTCTCGCTCCCGCTCCGGCAGCCGCGACATCCCCCTCGGCCTCGTCCCCCTAGCGGACGAATACGGCCGCCGCCGCCGCCACTCCTCCTCCTCCCGCTCGCGCGAGCGCGACGGCGGCAGCGACCCCAGCCACTCCGGCCTCTACTACACGGGCAGCTCGCGGCGCCGCACCGACGACCCGCATGGGTACATCCTGCACAACGACGACGACGAGCGGCGGCGGCAGCGGCGCGAGCAGAAGCGCCGCCTCTCCACCTCCAGCTACATCGAGCCCTCCACCACTTCCGGCACCACCATCGGCGACCCCTACGCTGTCGGCGGCGCCCCCTACCTCCCCCGCCGCGCATCCACCATCGTCCACCACAGCGACGGCTCCATCTCCACCGGCGCCGGCACCGGCTCCTCCGGCCGCAAGCAGTTGCGCTGGGACGACCAGGTGCGTGCCGAGCGCGAGCGCCACAACGCCGAGATCGCAAACCGCCCCTACCCGGGCGAGGTCAAGGGCATCTTGAAGCATACTGACTCGATGGGGGGGAAGGGCAAGGGCAAGGGCCGCGAGGTGGAGGATATTGCGGGTCTGAGGCGGGCCATTGAACGGATGGAGATTCCGCGTAGCAGTACGGGAGAGCGGGGCCGGGACCGTGAGCCGCGCGGTCGGAGGGGGGAGTGGGATTGGGGTTCGAGTGGGAGGTATGGGGCGGAGGAGTTGGAGGATGGGAGGCGCAAGCGCAGCAGGGGGTATGGTGGTGATGAACTGTACCGGTATTGAGGACGGGGAGTATTGTGAGGGGGTTGGTGGTGCATGTTGATGAGGTGATGGTGCATGGGGGATGGAGTTGATGGTTACACACATGGCGGGGGCTTGGCTTTGGTGTTTGGGGCATTGTTTTTGTTTTGTCTTTTTGTTGCTCGGGGGTTGCGAGGTCGGAGATTCTTCGTCGTGCGACGGCGGACCACCGTCAGAACACATGTGCCACTCCCGGCTTTCGGGATACGCATTTTTTTTCCTTTGTCATATTATGATACGACGCAATGAGAATGGATCATTTACTGCATCGCTATGGTAACCAGATTTGAGTTGGTGTTGGGAAGGGTCCCCAAGTCCACTCATCCACGTCCCTAACCCCTAACCCCATACTCCCTCCCTCTTTTTCTCTCCACGCTCACTCACCACCTCCAACCCCAACACCACCAACTCACCCAAAACAAAACCACCTCCTAGCCGGCCAAACCCCCAAAACAGGCCCTCCCCTGCCCATAAACAACCCACCCACCCCAACCTTAACCACCCCCACCCCGCCCACGACCATGACCACGGCCACAACCCCCGACCCCAAACCTTCCCTCATCAAAACGAACTAACTAACTAACAAACATGCGGCCCAGCGGCGCATGTGCCAGACCTGTGTCTCGGGAGCGGCCCAACAAGCCAGCCCAGATCAGCCGGCCGGGCAGCGGCCCGATACACAGACCCCCAACACAGAGATAGATCCCCGTGAGTTTTACTCGTGTCTTGCCTTGCCTTGCCGTGTAGGTAGCAGGTAGGTAGGGAGGTAGCAAGGTTGCTTCCCCCCTGGACTGAGCCACGCATGCGCCGCGGTACCTGAGCTGGGGAGGATGGGGGATCGGGGATGGGTGGCTTTGGTGGGGCGGTGGCGGTGGGGGGGTTGCCGGTGCTCTCTTCGTAGGTATGTACACAGTAGGTAGTCTGCTGGGAGACGGTGCAAAGTGCATGTTTGGCCCCGTTCGTCGCATCAGGTTAGGCAGGGAAGGGGGGCGTGGGATATCTGCCATGCCCAGACAAACAACATTGTGCCCGTCTGCGTGGGTGGTACTTACCACGCTGGGGGATGTCAAGAACGAAACAGGGGGCCGGGCAGCAGCACCACTGCAGCGGCAGGGATGCAGGGACACAAAGGCAAAAAACTCGGAGTTGGGCATCAGATCGTGCGGCGGCGGCGGCGTGTGGGCGGCCCGGGACGGCGGGTTTCGGGGCGGGTTGGCGGCGGTGGAGATCTGTGTGGGTTTCGCCTTGCGCGGAGGCGGCGCAACATCGCCCATGCAACCCAGCAGCCTGTCCGCGAGGGAGCGCAGGCGATTTTTGGATCGATTAACTATTAGAACCAGAGGAGACAGGCGCAAAAAGGGGGTGAGGTGGGTAACAGATAGATAGTGGGGGAAGGGCAGACAACAACGCAATATGTGCGCGGCAACACGCTATAGACACTAATTGGTATCTGATATCCAACAGCAGAAAGTATTAAACGAGGTATAAGCCCAAATCCAGCTCTAAACACCACCCTGAGATCATGTCGAAGACCCTGCCTATTGTCACGAACGCCGAAGCCCGCCGTTTCCAAGTCATGAGACAGCAGGATCAGGACCATTATCATACACGCCATTACAAACAATTATATACGAGAAGAAAGTCGTGGAATTCACAGGAGTGTTGGAGGACGCTGCGGCGGGGGCGGATGCAGGCAGCGGAGAAACCCGTCTGAGCGGGTTTTGGAGGTGGGTGAGAGGGAGCACCCTCGTCAATGCAGACACTGGTCTGCCGTGGTTGGTAGAGAGTCGTCGCCCGGCTGTCTTGGGGAGAGAAAGTTGGTGACGGTATGTTGCGAGAAGTCCGATGTTGGGATGCCGATAATGAAGGGGGTTGTAGTTTCACAACATGGTCGTGGTTGAGCACAGCAAGAATGAGTTGTCCCAAAATGGAGATTATGGGAAGACCGATCGCAGGGTGAACCTCGCAGGGCCAAAAGGGGTTGGATGTGTTGTCAAAATGTCTCGGGCGATCTTCGGGCTGCTCTGTAGCCGCTGTCTTGGGCGGGTTGGTACAAAAGGGGCGCTTCGACTCAGGTGCTAGCAGGTCGGCGACGATCATGGCTGTTCGCAGAGACCGAGATCCACGAGCAAATCACCCGCGTGGACATCGATGCCTCCGGCATGCTTGTCCTCAAACCCGAAGCCGAGGAAGACGATATCGTCGAGGTAACCGTGGTAGTTGACGCCGCGGTCCTTCCAGTTGGCCGACGTGACGTACATCATGTCGGTCCGCCGGCCTTTGTGATGCTTACGCCCGCTGATCCAAAGGGGCTTCTTGGAGATTCCGTACAACTCATAGGGGGCGCGCTGTTGGAAGAGCATCACGTAAGGGTCGTATTCGCTGTGATAGTCGTAGTACGTCTTGTGCTGGATGATGGTCATGATGTAGGTGTTACCGTCGTGCGCTTCGCACTTCTTGTCGGCGCGGTTACACAGCGTAATCTTCAGCGAGTTGGTCGCCTGGTGAATCGACTCGAGCTCAGCGGGTAGCTTAGGGAGGTAACGCTGCAAGCACTTCTCGTCGGGTTTGGCGGTCTTGGTCGCAAGCTCTGGCCCCGTGCTTCCGTCGCGCTCAAGCTTCGCATACCCCCGCTTCGGGTAAGCATCGTAGTGTACGTGCATCTCGTTATCCTTGTCCCAGAAGACGAAGTAGTTCTTCTCCATGGGGAAAAACGGCGGGGGTCGCACGATCTCGGTCCCGTCCTCGAAATCGGTGTTGGTCATCAACTCGTACTCCCAGTCGACCATCTTTCGGAAATCCCGGATGAATTGGCCAAAGCAGGTGTGGCCACCGTTCGAGCCGTAGATTGTTAGTGGGTTTTGAGGCCCAAAGAAGACGCGGGCGTCATGGGGCCCGACCGCCAGGTTGTAAAGCGAGAGATTATCCACGCACTTGCCGCCCGGCGACGGCTGGTAGGGCATCGGTCGCACATAGTCGATGCACATCAGTACGCCGTTGATGAACTGGGCAACGCATCCGAACTCGTACGCCTCATTGGCGGGCGTATCGCTATTGGCATCAGTATAGAGCTGGCCGACAACATGCCATGTGTTGTTGATCTTCTGGTGCGGGATGATATTGGGGTTGAAGACGTCCCTGCCGAAGTTGATGTCGAAGAACCTGCCGTCGGTCGAGGATGCCGAGAAAATCTCGTAGTGTGTCTCGTTGGCGGTCAGCTTCGGCTTGCGGTGAAGACCGGTCACGGCCGGGGTGTTCGCATCGTTGTTGAGCAGGGCGCCGACGTGGGAGCGCACGTAATCGGCGCGCGAGTGCCACAGAGCGACACTAAGCAACAGCAGGACCACCAAAGGCCCGACCACAAGGGTCAGGCGCTTCAGATCCCTCACGATCATGGTCGACGGCGGGGGGAGGGGTGGTCGGTGTTCGGGAGTTGGCTTCGTTCGAGACGGGGGGCCAAGCGAGAGACGGAAGTAACACTGCACAACTCGACTTCAGCCGTGGTCACTGCGAACCTCGCATCGTCAATGTTGGATCGGGCGGTCGGGAAGGAAAAGGAGATAACGCGAGTCGAGATCCAGAGAAAAAGCCCCCAAAGATTCCAACGCTAGTTCACTTTGGCGCTAGTGCCAAGCCAGCGTCAGCGAAGCTTGAGCAAACTTAAAATGGGTGGTGGGGGCGGGATCCCGTCAGCGGGCCATCAGCGCAAATCCGCGGAGATCTGACAGGGCAGAGAACGATGGGGATCCGGGTGAGGAGGGAAAGGGGGGGTTTTGACCTCGTACCTTGAGGGGGCTCTAAAATGGCAAATGCTGGTTACGGGAGATCATTGCCACAATTCGGCATCCAGAACTCTTCATTCCCATCGGCGGCATATGCTTGAAATCGCAGGGTTACCGTTTCCGGGAGCCCCTGAGGGCGGCGATATTCTGGATCCGTGGGGCCGGATGAGAAAATTGGCAACAAAAATTGGGACCAGCAGCAGTGAGACAAGCTGGACCCTGGCCCATTCCAGACCACCTGTGCGAGCCCGTCCCTCTGGCCCACTAAGCCGGATTCAGCCCCGCATTCAGGGGCAAGGCCGCACGCACTCTCTGGGGTTAGCCTCGGTGATTGGTTGATCTCAACACCGCAGAACACGGAGGAGGGAAACGAACGAGGCGAAACAGCGCAGCAACCAAGAACGGCACGAGTTGCATGGTGATGCGTGGAAGGCTCGTTTTCATCTTGGATAAATGGGATGCACTGAGAACCTTGGCTGTAAACATTGGTACCTAGATACTTGGGAAAATGCCACCGTCGCCATGTTAAAAAAAAATAAAAAAAAAAAGGCAGTAATTCTTTTGCAGAAGTAAGGAAACGCGTCGTTTTACATCTCGCGCGGCGCCAAGTCGGGCCTGGTGACTTATCTAACCTCTTTTTGTATGTTTGTCATCGATGCCATTAAACACGTATATATTTCGTGCGCAGTAAATGCTCCGGGGAAACTGCCCCAATCACACACATGACATGCCCAAATATGTCCAAAATCTGTCCAAGCAAACGAGCGCCGTAGCAAACTCCGCGATATCATGCCGGCAGCCTTGCCGGCCGGGATGCTGAAGTCGTTTTGTACAACCATTGCGGGAACCGCACGCTGGGCTCGTCAAACGCCCTCGTAACCACCTCCGCCAGGTAAAATGTGACGGGAAGCAGGATCAGATGAGGTACCAGAAATGCTACCTCAAGCCCCAACGGCCCTGACTTGGGCAACGGAAAGAGGTTTATCCACTGGGGGATGTTGAGGAAGCGCGAGTCCTTGGGCCACCCCACCGCCGCGTACAGCCGATCGCCGAGTGTCCAGAGCACTGGGCCGTGGACGAGATACAGCGAAAAAGAAATCCGGCCGAGGTACTGACAAAATCGCGTCTCAAAGAAACGTTTAAGCCAGGAGATGTGGGGCGTCGAAATGACGAGGAACATGGCGGCCCAGAAGAGAAAGAACCACTTGACGTCGGAGACGGCCTGGGGCTTTAAAAACGAGAGCAGATACCATCCCGGGTTCCGCGCCAAATCCTCCGCCCCGCTGCCGTTGGCCGGGCAGCCCCCCAGGTAAAGCGAGACGGCGAACAAGGTATAGAAGATGGTGGTTTTGTGAGGGCGGAATCGGTCGAAAAAGGCCGGCAGGTCATCCTTCGCAGCCAGGTGGTCCAGGTCGTTGAGCATCATGCCCGCGGAGAACAGGGCGCAGTACCAGCCGTCGACGATGTACATGAAGTAGAAGATCAGGCCAGCCTCGCACCACAGCCGGGCATTCCTACTGCATTTCGAGAAGGCGAGAAGCGAGGTGTAGATGACGATGGAGCCCTTGAACTCGACAGGGATCGACCAGAGGTGGAAGTTGTAGCTGAGCCAGCCGATCGGGCCGTTGTTGAAGACAAAACTGAAGTTCTTGATCTCGGCATACCAATCCCACGCCGCCTGGAGGTAGTTGCCCTTGGCCGAAAGGCCGTCGATCCAGATCCCAAAAGCATGAACAAAGGTCATGTAGATGAAGGTAGTACATAGGATGGGGATGTAGAGCCGTAACCATCGCCTAAACAGCGCCGAGGCGATGTTGTCGGCCAGCTTGGCCTGCTCGCCGGCGTGGATGAGGCTTATGGGCTTGGCGGACAGAACATAGCCGGAGATAACAAAAAATGAAGCGACAGCGAAATGGCCACCGTGGAAGAAGTTGCGGATTATCGGTAATGTGACGAAATAGTGATTGCCTTTGAAGCCGAAGCTCGCTTCCAAGGATGCGAGTTGGGGGGGCACGTGGGCCCAGAGTTCGTGGTGGTGCCAGTAGACCAGAAAGGCGGCGAATCCTCTGAGGCCATCGAGATATGCCGTCGGCCTGAGCTTCTCGGGTTGACTACCAGCAGGCTTGGATGACCATGGTGAGAGCACACGGATGAGACCGGAGGATCCGGAGGATGCCAGCCATGAGGCGATGGCGACCATGTCGGAGGAAGGGGGACCAGAGCCCAACAGCTCGTCGTCCCGTTTCGGCTCAATTGTCCCTTCCAGGTCACTCGGCATCGTAGATCTCAACGTCGCCGACTCAAGAGAAAGAGGGCTCGAGATGGGCAGACGTTGAGGATGAGCGTGACTGACGGGCCTTCAAATCAGGGATTCTTCCCCCAGTGGGCCGAACAGACCGTTGCAGCCAGTGGCCCAGGGGGAACCTCAAAAGGGAAAAGGGGCTTTTGTCGCCCCCACAGATTTCCCTGGTCTGTGCTGTCTGCTGCGCCTCGCAAACAGTGTCAACCAGTGAAGAAGCGAACCTGGGCGCTGCCCGATTGGCCTTGGCTGGATCAAATTCAATATTTTGGACTTGGCAAAAAGAGTGCTGCACTGCGCCTTTTGCGATAACTATTTTTCAAGCCGAACGCTGGGACTTGAATGGCGGGTGTGGTGTTGTGTTATGTGACGCGGCGAAACGAAGAGTCTGAGCTGATGAAAGCGGGAGGATGAGAATCCAATCAAACGGCAGCCTGGCAGCCTGCGGACGTTGAGAGAACCCGTTCCAGAAGGCACGCGACGTGAATCAGTCCCACGCGATGCCAAGACCTTTTGGCCCACGCCCAAGAACGCACAACTCAGCAATTTTGCCAATGCACCTCTGTGAACCAAACAACAGCTTCAAGACCCCCAACCCAAGATGTTGAACCGGCAACCGGCACGCCTTCGGATAACCGGCCCTTTGGCGTGCCACTCGGAATTTTCCAGTTAGTCTGCTCCGAGTTCTTCCTGCCTTCGGCAGGCTGTCTCGGCCCGGGCGCCACCAGCAGGTGCTCATGAACTTGTATGGGAACGCTCAAATCTGCCCTTGCAGCAGACGCCAGAGAGCGCAATCCAACCTCAAGTCGTAAATCCACCGTAACGAAACACCGAGCTCCAAGAGCTTGGCTTTTTGTGCCATCGTGTCTTCAGCCTTGTTGTTCAACTTCAGTGCCCGGCATCCCAGTTCTCACATGCCGTCCGACGTTACGCGCCGATCCTGTCGCTTCTCTCTTCCGAAACGGCAAGTTGGCTGCCGATAGTGTAACATGAGATTCCCAGTGCCGGTTGACGGCCCCAGATCCCCGTCCTGCCCACTTGTCTGCGGGAAAACAAGCTTCTTGTTGCTTCCAACTCCCCACTTACCGCTTTCGACCAGGATCGGCCCCTCACGATCCTGGGCCGGGACGGAGTGATGGCGTTTTCAGCACACGACCGAACAACACTACGATACTAGAGACACTCCCCTCGGGTTTGAAGGTTCTAGGATACCCCTTCCACGGCCCGGCCGACGCTTCAAAGCTTGTGACACTCATATCCCCTATGCTGGCCGAGATCCTGGGGGATTGCTGCCGAGTCGTATCGTCGCAGTTTCCTCGGTGACTAAGGTTTTGTGTGTGCCTTTAAATGCTCTTCCTGTGAACCCATCCCCACATCTTCGCAGCGTCCTGAGAGCAGGAGCAAATATAGAATACTTGGACACGCTTGCCACGCTGAAGTTCCTGGCCTTTTACTCATCAACTCTTATCTCCCTGCTCGCAGCGTCTCCGTCGAGCTTGCAACAAGCCAAAGAGCCGCGTGTTGACACATAAAAGACTCTATTAATCTTGCCAGTCTATACTATTTTATTCCGGTCACCCCCCAAACCCCAGCATTTTGTCTCGACCGCTGTGGAACAATATGATTGTCAGAAGCCCTGACCGGCTTCCGACAATCTAAACGGGCCAAAGCTTCCCCCGGAACATTGACAGATCCGGAAAAGAAAGTTACATAACTATCAAATCTCGAAAAACAAAGTTGCGACACGAACTCCGGCAACGACTTCAAGACAGACTCACTTTGGCAGAACTAAACCTACCTAGTTGGCTCTCGCGGGTTCCCCCGGTTTTACTCGGCCCATTATCGAGCAAAGCCGGGTCGTTAATCTCATCATGATAAAGGCCGACTCGACTTGGGACATAATTCACACTGAGGACGAAGCCATCACAGATATGGACGTTGAGGCACGCACACTATCAACTTCTTCATCCCATCACACTACCGCCTCGTCATGGCGACGGGCGTAAGAATCAGCCAGCCACACAGGCAGAACCGACCGCCCACTATCACCCCTTAGGGACAGCTCCTTAACTTCGACCACACCATCCGAGCATTGACTCATCCTGCCACCACGTCGGCTGTGGATATATAATTGGGACAAGAATAAGCCAAAAGAAAGGTTGGGATTGGGGTGGTGAGGAACTGCGGCGGCATTGAGAGCCAACACAGAAATTCACCCCGAGACGGTTGTGTTGCCGGTTCCAGCTTTGGTAACAGCCCTCCCCACCGTGACCGGAGCCGCTCCTGCATGGTGGACTTCCGCCCGGTGGGTTTCCGCAATGGCAAGGGAGTGGTCCGCAACAGGGTCCGCGGCGCGGATATGCATGCCCGCCTGTGGAACGTTAACCTTGACGCGAAGGATCCGAGCGGTGACATGGCACATCCCTAGAAGGCGGAGAAGTGTAGAAGACTCCGACAGCCACGAGGGAATGAACGGGTACGTGGTCATGAATTCCGAAGAGTTATCAAAGGGCAATGAGACCGGGTTCCTTAAACGAGGTACAAATATGTAAGAATTAGTATAATAAAATATCTATCAAAAACATATGAATAACTAACTAAGGTACCGAGATAGTCATTATATAACTAAGCACTTTATTAGTTAACCCACTTTCGTATTCTAGTCGTCTAGTACTACTCGAACACTAGTACTAGTCTAGTAAGGGCTTACTCGCGCAGCACTAATGAGTGTAGTTCTAATTCCGAACCCTGCTTGGGGCTTTACCTGATTAATACCTTGGACGGACAACTCACGATTGCTCACTCTCAATTATTGCCTCCACCCTTGCGGATGCTTCACAAGCCCTTCCGGCGGCTCCTTTCCCACACTCCAACTCCAACTGGGTCATCCCAGTGGCAGCAACCGCCCTCTCTCCGCCGTCAAGCCGCACGGTCTGGCGCACAGTGATCACTACGACGAGACTCATATGATTAACATAAACCAACCCAGCTGTCCATCGACGACCATTCAACACTTTCATCAACCACCTCACAAACACGTACAGCCACTCACCATTCTCAGGCCACTCCGCATCCACCTCATACCAAAACCCGGGGTCATCGCAACTCTTGGTCATCTCGTCTGAACTCGGGTCATAAAGCTGCTTGCACGCGACAACAACCTCGGGAGTACCCGAGTAAGTGGCAGACAAGTTCTCCCAGCGGTAGCCCGAGGCTGCGTTGCCGCGCGAGTAGGTCAGGTCCCAGTACCCGTACTGTGAGTCTGTGGTGTCTGTGCCCTCGGTTCCAGTTAGCGGGTGGGCTGAGGCGGTTGCCGCGAGGAGGCCGAGGCTGAGGATGGGATGATGTTGGTGCATGATGGGAATTCTGCCCTGGGCCGGGTGCCGCCTGGCCGGGTGCTGTGGCGGGTGCTGTTGTCACTGTTGACAGTTGTGGTGTGAGAGATGCAAGGGATGCCGTGAGGGCTGCGGTTTGCACGGTGGAGACCAGACCGTGGTTGGGGGGTTGAGGGGAAACTCGGGCAGTTTTTAGACGGGGCCAGCGGCTTGAACGTGAAACGTTGCGCCATATGTGGCCGCATCGAGACGGTTCGTAGGCAATATGCGCGCGGTTCATCCGTGTTGGCTATAGGCTGTAGTGAGCTCCGGCGGGTATGGACTTCTTTTTTCTTGACAAAGTTGACTCCGCCATTGATTCCAGTAACAACAACGCAACCAACACAGACGAGGGTACTTCGTGTCTCAAGCGAGGTTAACTCATCGACTGGCAGTTTCCGCGTCTACGACTCCACATTTCACAGTGAGAAAGGCGGCACCATGACACCTACCCAGGTGGCGCTTGGTGCACTTAAGGTGGCACGACGCGAAGCGGGTCGAACGGCGCAGCTGTGGCGCGGCGGCGCAGGAGTGGGCGGCATTGCGGCAAGGCTTGCTTGGAATCTTGGAAAGGAACCTGCAGATCAGCATCAAGAGCAACCCTAACCCGTTAGAAACAGCAAGGCAAAACCAAACAAACCACACACTGCTCTTTGATCACGTGAAGAGAGAGAAAATCCATGGCCAGCGTTCGTGTTTTGCACCCTCTTCCCGCAGCGAAAGGCAGCAGCATCGCGCGCACCCCTCTCTTCGTCCTGATTCTTTCTTAAAGTGCTTGAGAAACCCCTGGTTACCTGATTTTTCTCTGAACGTTGCTCTTCAACTTGCTTGCGCCGCCGACAAAAAAGGTGGTCTCAAAGCCGCGGTCCTTCCTTCCCGACGTCTGCCATTACCGAAACCCACTCAGGCTCTGCTGCAGAGCCCAACCCGCCTTAACCCTAATCCGGCTTGTTCTCCTTTCCATCCTGGGATCCTGGCAACCTGGCAACCCAGCAAACAAACCATCTCTTCGCCCCTTGAACATCGCCCCTTACGTCGCCTCTCACATCGCCAGTGCTTTTAACATTTAAACCGCCATCATGAGCCGATACGATGGACCAGAGGCTGTTGAGCGGGATCCTACCCAGCCATACGCTGCTGCTTTACAATCATGGGAAAACTCTGTCCGCGATAGGCATGCGATCGAGCAGAACCTTCACATGAGCTACGTGGATTTGCTTCGCCGCTATCGAGAGAAATGTGACGAGTGCGACCGCGAGAAGCGCAACGCTATGATTTGGGAAAAAGAACAGCGCATGTCTGAGAGAGAGTTGAATGGTCTCAAGGTTGCTGTCGTAAGTCCCCACAAGTTCTCAAGTCCCTGCCCGCCGCCCCCCTAGGATCCAGGGCCCGTTCCATCCCGGACCCCCCCGCGTCCCGAGTCCCGGGGTTGAGATGATGTCCGTGTCTGGACCCTGCAGCCAACGCAGCCCCCACGGGTCGGATCGATCTCGCATCCTGCCATTTCCCATCATATTAGTAACACCATCCAGGAAGCTTCCCCCTTTGCCTTTGTCGTTGTTGACGGGGATGGGGCTGTCTTTCGGGAGGACCTTATTGCCCGTGGGGAGGAGGGCGGCGGACAAGCTGCTCACGAGCTGCATCAACAACTTAAGGCTTACTTCCACGAAAACCCACAACTCTCCAACATCGACAGCATTTTTGTGCACGTCGTCCTTAGTGTCGAGGGACTCTCCCGGGCTCTTCATGCTTCCGGTACTCTCCCTGTTACCGACTATGCCGCCTTGAACCAAGTTTGCCCGCGGATTCGCCCGCGCCCAGCCTCTTTTCACCTTCACCGATGTTGGCTACGGCAAAGGAACAGGCTGATCATAAAGTGCGTAAGCTCTTTGAACTCATGGAGAAGAACATCCAGTGCAAGTGCCTCATCTTGGCTGGCTGTCACGATAACGGTTACGCTACATTCCTCGAGTCGTTCCGCGGCAACCACAAGATCTGCCTGCTGGAAACGACCCCTCCCGCTGCCGACTTCAGGAAGTTTACCTTCAAGCGCGTTGCCTTCCCTTCGGTCTTCCGCTCGGAGCCCATACCGTCCAAGCCGGCTGCCCTCTCGGCATACACAGCGCCGCCGGTGGTGTCTCCGGCATACACTGGGCCCAGAACCTCGCCGCCACCACTATTCAGCCCCATCGGAAATGGGATGAACAGCTTGCCTAGCCCGGCAGCCACCGTGTCCCCTAAGCCTGCCCCGGCTCCGATTGCCGTGAGCAAGCCTGAAGCCCAGTCCACCAACAGCTATGCCACCGTGGGGCGAAGCACCGCCCCCTTGACTATCAACATTGCGAGCCAGAAGAAGCCAGCTTCGACCCGTCCCTTTTATATGCTCAACGGCAATAACGAGCGCGTGGATGTCCCTCTAGGCAAGCCCGATATTAATGCTGTCAAGGCGCTGGAAGAGCGGAGGCAGATGAGCGGCATGAATCTTTGCAACCGCTACCATTTGGCTAACAACTGCAAAAACACCAACTGCAATTTCTATCACGGCGAGCGCTTGACGCCCGCCCAGCTGCTTGCTCTGCGCCATAAGACTCGAAACCTAGTCTGTGGCTCTGGCCACCATTGCCGCGAGGTTACGTGCAACCTCGGCCATCACTGCGCCAACGCCGGGTCGTGTTACTTTGGTGACGATTGTCGTTTCTCCGAGATGCACGGCATGGATACTGTATGTTTTTCCTTTTTTTTTTTTTTTTTTTTTTTTTTTTTTTTTTTTTTCGACTCTACAAAGAAGCCTTTCTAACCCCGTGTACAGACTCCCACGCTTAAGGTTTACGAGGATGGTAGCCGCGAGCTCATCTAGACTTAGAACCACTTCCGAGTTTGATAAGAGAATTATCGAGTTGGTAGCGAGATGGTAAGCCATGTTGTTGATTTAGTTGCGTATGCGCTGCCCCCGGGTTGCGGCAACATTTAAGAGTTTAGCGGTCTCGGGTTTTCGGATCTTGAGCGGGGGCGGAGCGAGCATGTTTTGTTGGGGTTTTACGATGCGATGCATCTTTATCTGATGTTGCGCCATACGCTCATTACCTGTTTTCAAGTTTACCTCGAGTCTGGCCAGATTGATATTAGCACGCAATGCGGCAATCTTTAGTTATCAGTTTCACATCCTTAAATTTACGGACGATGTTGATGGAGCTAAAGAACTTCCATGTGGTTAAGGAGAGCAACCGTGAGTCGGGCAGCCATTGCCAACCGGCGGCTGGCCAAAGAAATGGGGTTAGTTAATGATAATTGTGGGTGAGGTGTTGCTGATATCAATACATCTTCCCTCCCTCTCCGGAGGCCCTCAACAAACAAAACAACCTAAACCAACCTCCCAAACACCCTCGTGAACCACCCCCCCTCCCCATCCAACACCTCCCTCCGAAACTGACAATGTACAAAATACAGCACATGAAAAAAAATCCACACCTGCTCCCCCACCCCCCGACGCACCACCATCCTTTCCCCGACCTCCCCGCGCAACCACCCCAACCGATCCCGCCACGCCTCTTCCCTTTTCTCTTCCCCCCCCCCATGCCTGCTGGCGACGATGCCCCCACAATCACCACCCAGCATCCCTGCTATGCTTCCACGCCCTGACCATGACCACGAGGTAACGTGAAGAGGAAGGTGATGAGGAGTCGGCGATTGACCCGCCCAACACCTTGCGTAGTCGTAAACGACCGCGGGTAAGCCGCCTCTCGCAGGGCAGGACGTAGAGATGGCAGGATGCTACGACGACGGATTCACACAGGCGATGGCGGGGTCGACCACCTCATCATGGCTCCGGAGCTGCCTGATGGTCGACAGTTTCTTGAGGAATCGGGCCCTGGTGGAGGGTCTGCTCCTAGCTGTCCCGCACACCCCTCCAAGGGA